GGGTTCGAACTCGAGACTTTTCGGTTTAGCAACCATGAGCTTTACCGACTCGACCACGCCGACCCAAAAATTCAATAACTAATGCTTTTAATTAACGCCAAAAATAACAGTTATTAATGAGTTCCTAAAATCACGTGACTCCCGTACGCCGAGGGGGCTCCTGGTAAACCTGACACCGCTTGTATCAATGAACTAAAAGCCATTTAACGATTTCTCTAGCTTGTCTCATTGTGATTGTGAGTAGACTACAGAACTTCGTCAATAGTAGGCCTACAGCATTGAACAGAACGATAGTTCATCACATTCTTTTAACCTGCGTGATTAAGCTATTGTTAAACCGAGATAGCATAACACAATAGTTTAACCTGCCCAATCTAGCTATTGTTAAACCAAGGCGGCTCAGCAAAACATTTTAATCTGCCTGATTAAGATATCGTTAAAACCAAGACCAACGAATTCTCATACCATGCCTGATTCAGCTTAACCAAAATAGTTCAACACAATATTTAACCTGTCTGATGTAGCTTTTGTTACACCAAAATAGCTCAACACAATTTTTGATAACTTGTCCGGTTAAAGTTATTTTAATTGCAGTAAAAGTATGACCAGAATTATAATTTTAATAAAAACCAGTTTGAATAGATTCATTTTTTTAAAAGGTGATCGCAATCAATGTTGACAGGTTAATTTTTAAAAAAAAAACCAAGCATGTATTAACTAATCAGGTCAAAACGAAGATCTCGGAAAAAAAATCTATTTTTAGCATGATATGGTGCTTCTGCAGTTTATTAACGCAAGAAAAACGACAATATTTGTCCCTGTCATGTCCTCTACTATAGTTGACATGTCCTTTACAATATTTCAGATGTCCTCTACAATACTAACTATGTCCTCTACACTACTTGACACGTGCCTACAATATTTGAATTGTCCTCCACAGTATTTGACATGTCCTATACACTATTTGACATGTCCTCTACACTATTTGACATGTCCTATGCACTATTTGCCATGTCCTCTACACTATTTCAGATGTCCTCGACTTTATTTGTCATGTCCTCTACACTATTTGTCATGTCCTCTACGCTATTTGACATATCCTCTATACTATTTGACATGTCCTATACACTATTTGACATGTCCTAACACTATTTGACATGTCCTATGCACTATTTGCCATGTCCTATACACTATTTCAGATGTCCTCGACATTATTTGTCATGTCCTCTACACTATTTGTCATGTCCTCTACACCATTTGACATGTCCTCTATACTATTTGACATGTCCTCTACACTATTAGCTCCTGTCATACCGCCTACACTGACGTTAACTAACCAAACACACGACTAAAATAATCACTGCGGACAAGAATAACAGCGCGACCATACACTGGTCAAGGTTCTGGTATGGGAGTTGGTGTCAATGACGGAAACAAACCAACCCAATCAATGCCTGGATTGTCCTTGTGGTTTCGGTAATCTGTGACTTAATGGTGAAACCGTGCTTCTGACGTCAGTCGTGTTTGATTCGCATCACTGGTTTTCATTCAGGTTGGAGTTTGTTCTGATATGATTGGTTGAGTTTGTTCTTTGATAGCCCGCGCGTTAATCTATTAAAGTACTTTATATTTAATCGGCTTTTCGGATTACTGGCCACAGAAACAGCTCTGCTCTAGTTCACCTGTACTATCTGGCGTTTGCTTTGACATTGTACTTTATGATTGTTATTGTTTTTACTAAGATGACAAATGCATGATAATTAATTTTCCTATTTTCCCGATGCGTCAAATCGTTACTAAGACTCACTCTAACTACAATACACACAGCCACCCAGTCGTCATCTATGCTTTCTTTAAAGAAGCATACACTTAGTAGTTTGAAGACAATGGCGTAGCTAGGGGTGGGCGGGTGGGGACGGTTGAATTATAAACTGTCAAAGTATGGCACCAAAGAAAAACAACAAGTAATAACTGGTAAGAAGCGACACCAACCTTTTCAACTGGAAGGGGGGGGGGGGAATTGGCTTTTTCACTAACGAAAAAAAAAAATAAATGGCAGGGGACACAAATTTATAATTCGCCCCGGGCGCCGGGATGGGTCTGTTTGTAGAGTCTAGCGCATTCTGCCCTTCGTTTGTAAGGTAGGGTTTTTGGCGTATACCCCGTTGTTAAGAAGTTACTAGGGCATTCTGACCCTAGTACCCACCTCGTATGGGAGTGTTACTCCGCCAGTGAAAAAATAAATTACATGGTAATATACCTTAAATAAAGATTGAGCACATTTTTGTAACAAAGAAATAAGACAATTTTCCCCACTACCCCACCCCATATAATGTTATTTATACATACCATACACATAAACATCCGCTATATTGCATAATATGTTCAGAACACACCCCACCCTCTCAAAAACAGTGAAATAGAACTAAAAAGAAATGTTTTAAGAAAATTTCAAAAGATTAAATAAAATTCACTAGTATCACTGCAGGAGAAATATGTTTTTTTTATTTTAAATATTTTTTTTAGTTCAACGTGTTATTTAATACGGCTCTTGTCCACCAATCCACTTTACCCCCATACAATAAAACAATTAAACATCACGTCATTCATACCTTCTTCTTCCCCCAACCTGTGTGTAATATAATACGCGCACGATTCCTGTCCTAACCTCCATTATTTTTCTCCTAGCTTTAAGTGGATAAAAATTTATTGCTTTAATTTCAATCAGTAATGTCTGTGGAGGCAATTTAAAGGGGTGAAAAAAATTAACAACTTTTTTTTATATCAAGTTATCTGAAACTGGTTTTAATTAGGATAACATTTCCTCGAAAGCTCATCAACCCATACCAGTTTAAAACAAAGTAGATGGATGATCGTGGATGAAAATTATTGCTTCTACTCAGACGGCTTCTACACTCTCAACTTTAGTATTCTTATTATTCTTACAAACAACTGAATCACCGTGTGCAGTGTTCTGGTATGCTTAGGGTCGGTTACGTGCCATGACAAAGTATCGGACCGCGGGCCTGTACCGGACCGCTAAGTAGGGTTAGCTGGTACTCGAACAAAACAGTAAGGACATGGACGCACGGACCTCGGGCCTGTACCGGACCGCTTAGCAACGGTAGCAAAGCTGTTTGAAAATATCAGAAATATTACTGTAACTATATAGCCTATATATATATATATATATATATATATATATATATATATATATATATATATATATATATATATATATATATATATGTATGTATGTATGTATGTATGTATGTATGTATGTATGTATGTATGTATGTATGTATGTATGTATGTATGTATGTATGTATGTATGTATGTATGTATGTATGTATGTATGTATGTATGTATGTATGTATGTATGTATGTATGTATGTATGTATGTATGTATGTATGTATGTATGTATGTATGTATGTATGTATGTATGTATGTATGTATGTATGTATGTATGTATGTATGTATGTATGTATGTATGTATGTATGTATGTATGTATGTATGTATGTATGTATGTATGTATGTATGTATGTATGTATGTATGTATGTATGTATGTATGTATGTATATAACGCCCCTAAACTCGACACTTCCTAGTTAGAATTCTTCACGCGTCCATGAATGCGAATAAAAATTGTTGCGCTGTGAATATATCTATAAACTCTCTACACTAGAGTATAATATAATGTCCTAGCAATCAGTTCGCTTTAAAACAGTGCACATCAATTCAAACAATTGTGTAGGCTTTATCTTCTCTCCAGCTAGAAAACCATTCGTTTATTTCATGTTGCTTGTCGTTTAAAAACATGACCGTGACATTTATTCCCTTGATTGCTGTTGCAGCACAAACATAACGTTTATTGAATACGATTTCACAATTTTAATCGACGAATTTAGCAATGTTTATCAGCGTTCGTTAACAGGAACAGATATAGAAACCTGTTCGAGTGCCGTCTTAGAGATAACAAACTGCCCACGGAATCGGAAACTGATAAGTGGAACGAGGCGATATCGAGGTAAAAAAAATAATCACGGAAACATAACGTAAAATACAGGCTATCATCATCTCCGCGAAGACGTGAAATGTGTGTCATTTGTCCTTTGTAAACACTAGCATCACATTTATAGCACGCGCTGTATAAAATGACAGACCGCCCGGTGTATACTTAGATTATGTCCCCTCGCAGCGGTTCTTATGTTTTACATAGGAAAGTTGGTGATTTACATCGATAAATTAACAAACTGATTAAGCAATATCTAGTATTGTAATATTTATTCTCTTCAATTTAATGTACCCACTGTTATAAGTTTTAATAAAGAAGGATTTTGAAAATGTAAAACAAAACACTTGTGTTATGATTAGTTAAGTGTTGTTAAATAATATAACTTTAAGTTTAGTGTGATGCGCTTTTTTAAAAACTTGATCGTTAGGGCGTGCTCAGCTGTAAAGAAAATCACGCGCAAGTTGTCGTCTAATGCACGCTTTAATTTACCGATGTGACGAGTAGATAACTTTTATCGCGGCTAGAGTGAATACAACATGTTCCACATCAAACAAAGTAATAAACAAAACCAACAGCAAATGATACGTCGACACAAACTTTGATGAAGAACACACGGCAAATGTTTCTACATTGCAAAAAATGGTGTTGCTTTACAGCCCCAAAACAATACATGAATGGATCAAGCTTGTCTCACTTTAACATGGGTGTCAAATATTGCTAGTGTATCATAAGACCGTTTCATGTTTTTTATGGTTGTCTCTCAACGTATAATATATATATATATATATATATATATATATATATATATATATATATATATATATATATATATATATATATATACGTCTGTGCATGTATATGTATCAATGTGTTTTAAATATGATCGATGTATTTGTATAATGTAATGCAGGATTCCCCATTATACACCTCCTCTTGAGCCGCCACTGCTGTAGAAAAATACGGAACTACACGAGCCAACTTACCGTGGGGGCTACGGCTGACTCCTGACTTCCCGCCGCCAACAGCGATGTGATGACGCAGAAGATTATCATCATGACCGGCGTCTTCAGGAAAGTTGATAAAAACATGATATAAGTCGATAAATTTCTTTTTCCCGTCAATGCCGATCTTCACTAGCTAATCATCAGTTTGTTTATTTTCTCTGTAATCCTAAGTTGGGAAAAATCTCAGTACTTGTCTCCTAATTTGCTAACTTTTCTTTCCAACTATAAAACAAAAAAAAATAACTTTTCAATAATTGTTTTTAAGTTGCTCAACAAATAAGTTTACAAAATTTATTTTAAGTTGTTCAGTTTAAAAATGTCCCTGTCGAAAGATATTATGAACAAACGCCTCTACCACGAAATGCACGTGTTTCCCGCGTATTTTATACCATCGCGCGATGTCGCCTTCTGCCGAGCGAGGAAAAAAAAAACTACCCGTAGCTCACGTGGAGACTGCCATTGAGCGCTGGCAAGCGGGTAGCTGTCTGCTCACGTCCAGCTTCTCGCGCGGGTGTACTGGGGGGCGCCGAGCTGGTCACAGCCGGCGGTTTGCTGGGTGGGGCGTATGGTGGGCGTCTGCTTTAAAAAATATTTTTCTCATAGTGGGTGGGGGGGCGGGTTTGTTTGGGTTATAGTACTCACCACTACTTAACTCAATTGGTTAATTGAACAGGTTTGTAAAGAAAATACAAACTGAACTACACACACACGTGCAAACGTAAACGTAAGTGTACGTGTACGTTTAAATGTATATGTACATGTACTTGTATGTGTATATTTTATGCATTTGCATATATATATATATATATATATATATATATATATATATATATATATATATATATATATATATATATATTATATATAAATAAATGAAAACCTATACATATATATATATATATACATGTGTATATATGTATATATGTATATATATAATATACATGAAAACTTATACACACACACATATATATATATATATATATATATATATATATATATATACATATATATATATATATATATATATATATATATATATATATATATATATGTATATGTTATAATATATTGTAAATGGCGTTGGGTGTCTCCGATTAACCAGAACAACCAACACGAAACAGTACTTCTTAGATTAAATTCAGATTTAGATCTAGCAAGGCTAATGACCTTGATTCAGACAACAATTTTGTACATGTTGGGTGTAACAGTGCTAGGCAATCATTTAACACTAATTTGTGCTTTCGAAATGTTCGGTAATTGAGATGATGTATTGCCTCACGTTTCATAGCTTGAAGACCACCTAGATATCACCTCTCCAATACTTATTAGACAACGATATCTATGTGTAATTGCATATCTTTATCTTATACTTTCAATAATAAATCTTTACTTGATACAAAATATCTTTATTTTATTCTCCCTACAACAATATATTTACTTTTAAATACAGCTTAGCCACTGCCTATTTTTTGTTATTTTTAACACGTTTTTCTTATCTCAGCTTCGCGTTTGTTTGTTTGTTGTTAAAATTGACATCGAAAATTAGCCCACTTCTGATTGCTCTAGAGATCTGAAATTTGGCATGCAGGCTACTTTCGCCTAACAATTTCAGATGCAATCATAAAACTAGCAATTAGAGACCGTAATTAGCTTAATTTAATTACGCCCCAAGGACCATAAAATTGAGGACATGATTTCTAAAGATACCGACAAGACTGTAGGCCTATTGACACAGTTACTTCGGCCCCAATCGATGTGAGCGCGCTGGCCGTGATCGTATAGTGGTTAGTACTTCGCGTTGTGGCCGCGACAACCCAGGTTCGAATCCTGGTCGCTCAAGATTTTTAGTCCGTGTATTTATAAACACTTAGTCAAGTCATACTTAATCAAGTCATTAGATAAAGTAGAAAATAAACTATATAAAAAACTTTTTTTAAAAACACGTTTTTCATGTGTAGCAACGGACTAAAAAGGAGAAAATAAAATACTTAAAAAAAACTTTTAAAAAAACCACGTTTTCTTGTGGACTAATAATAATCATTAAAAAAGTTTTAAAAAACCCACGTTTTCTGATTGAACTAAAAAGTAGAAAATAAACGCTATACATCACAATAATGCAAGCGATCACTCTACTATAAGCGATGAAAAACGTGGGGCGCCGAAGTAAAAGTTATATTACTATTAATTAGATAATACTATTGACTTTTATTAGGGAGCTTGTAGAGAGTCAACAGTATTAGAAACTGTAAGAAAATCACGGCGCCCCACGTTTTTGATCGCTTATAGTAGAGTGATCGCTTGCATTATTGTGATGTATAGCGTTTATTTTCTACTTTTTAGTTCAATCAGAAAACGTGGGTTTTTTAAAACTTTTTTAATGATTATTATTTTTTACTTTTTAGTCTTTGTTTGTTTGCATTAAAATCTTGCTATCGATTTTATCTTTTCACTTTTTTTGGGTAAACGAAGACAACTCGTAAAAAGACAACTCGTAAAAAGACAACTCGTAAAAAGACAACTCGTAAAAAGACAACTCGTAAAAAGACAACTCGTAAAAAGACAACTCGTAAAAAACACGTTGTGTTAACACATAGATTTGAACCCGTGTCGAGTGGGATAGCAATCGTGTGCCCAACCACTCGACCAACTGGCCTACCTCCTGTAACTTTAAACTCGGTTCAAACTAAATTATCTACCCATAAGCCTGTGGCGATGTGGGATCGTTCGCTTCACTGCGCGCGAGGTACGCGTCGCTCGTTTTTTTTTCTAATGGCTCGCAGAGGAGAATTATATATATAGATTATATAGCGGTCTAAAATGCTCAATAAAATGTTTCCATTGATCAATTTAGTAATAATAACAATTGAATATTCAATGGTCATCCAAAAGAAAGCTTCCCTGAAAATTTCAGCGCGCTAGCTAACTGGGAAGTGCCAGAAATTTCGATCGCAAGATTTGATTGGAAAGACAAACAAACACAGACACAGAGAAAGCAAGTTAAAGAAAACGTGGGAAAAAGTAGAAAATAAATTTTCTTTTGTGCTTCCTCGAGCTGTGCAGATTCTTGTGATGACTGACAAAAAACGTGGGTCGGGCAGATGTGTCAGGAAATTTGATGGTGAACGTACCCACATTTTTTGTCAGTCTTCACAAGAATCTGCACAGCTCGAGGAAGCACAAAAGAAAAATTATTTTCTACTTTTTAGTCCACAAGAAAAACGTGGTTTTTTAAAAAGTTTTTTTTAAAGTATTTTATTAAGGTCAATGCCCAGCCGTTTTGAATATAAAAAAATAAGATCAAAACCTTTATAAAAGCAAGCTTTTAAGTGCACTGAAAAATGAGAAAATAAATGCAAACCTTTTCTATCTTTAATCAAAGCTTTGTTTCGCTCATATTTCTTACATATTTTTGCAACCAAAGCTTTTATTTAAGCCATGTAAATCTGTTTTGTAATCTCGGGCTCAGTGCATTTAAAAGCTTGTTATTATAAAGGTTGTTATATTTGTTTTATCTTTCACTCTTAAGTCATGCGTTTTAAATGAAAATGACACTACATTGGCTACGACTATAATATTTGAGTTCAAATCCGAAAAACAGTAACAGCTCTAAGAGAAGGTTTTGCTGCCCCTAATAGGGCTGGTAAGTAGGTAAAAAATAGCTCTATGGCTCATGCAGGTTTTATTGAGCCGTAGAACTTGTTGGTGACCTACTTACCAGCCCTATAGGGTCAAGGTCGACGCGCAAACCAGAAATCAACCAGCCATGACGGGTCACTCTGGTAAACAAGTCATCGCTTGAGATTTGTTACTAAATTTAGAAATATTGAAGTTTAATGACAAATTGTGTGTTTAATTAGATACAAAAGTTGATATTCGTGCATTGTCATTGTTGAAGAAAATGTGTAGAAAGTGTGAAAGAAACATGTGTATTAGAAGTGGGTCAAAATTGAGTTACGAAATTTGTCACAAACCCACAGAACGCAAACAGACGTTGCGAACTCAGTAAAAGCTTGTAAAAACATAAATTGACATCGCACTGTGTACATAAATCCATCAGTGTTGTTACTGTAGTAATCACGAATTGTTCTAACTTTACTGAAAAGCGACTCAGCTAGAGAACAAATGAAGTTTACATAATACATAAGGATCTATACACACAGCCCAAGTGTTAATAAGTACATCGACCCGACCTTGTCATCGAAATTCTGGACAAATTAAAATATACACGTTTCTACCTGTTCGTGTCCGGAGATCTGAATTTTTAAACAGATTAAGACAAGGGGAGCTTATCCGTGCATACGTTGATCAATAACAATCAAGGTGCTTTTCAACTTACAAGCTATTGTAAAAAGTCGATTCAGTAGTGGATTTTAAGCTCCGTTATGATTTGTTTAGTTTAATTTCGGTTCGTATTTTTTCTTTTCTTATTCGAGTGCGACTTTATATTTGAATTTTAAGAGATCAAAATTTAAATGATGATTGTGACAAAGTATTTGCAGTAGTACGGTATGTTGAAAGACACTAAAAATAGTTTAGCTTTTTTTTTAGCAATTCCTGGGACGTTACCATTATTTATAATTCACACTCACTTGCCTTTACGGCTCCATGAGAAGTTAAATGATAGTTTAATAGGGTACTTTCGAACATTATTTATGAATGCGACTGCTGTTTGAGTCAGACGTGTATAATTCTTTCAAATTAAGATGTACGTATTTTCTTCATATTCAGAAAAACAAAATTCCTTTACATTCACAAAGTCAAAGAAAGACCATGTCGTCTGTTTGTTGTCCGTGTATTGTCTTAAAATTTTCCGGACATCAATTCATTGACTAGTATTGCAAACAGAATCTATCAACCCTTCTTCCTGTGTGATGTCCGTATGTTGACCGTGTGATGTCCGGACATCAATCCGTTGACTGGTATTGCCAGCAGAGTCTGTGAACTGATGCACGTAGCATGTGTAACAAAAGATCGATGCCCCATCACACTGTCTGTAGAGCTAAGCCCACTTTATTAGAAGACGTCACACTGTAGAGCTAAGCCCACTTTATTAGAAGACGTCACACTGTAGAGCTAAGCCCACTTTATTAGAAGACGTACTCAGCAATCTTTCTGTAACACCTTACATGTGCATCCATGTGAACTGTTCTATTAAACCTCAACTGCCTATTTAATACATGTTATAGATCAAACTCTGAGTAAATTAATTTTTTTTCATTTTAGCAATCGATATTGAATTATGATTAATATAGCATTCAATTTCATATCAGGACTATAAAGTTGTACACATTGTAGAATTAACTAATTACCAATAGATTCCGGTTTACCAGTTTCAGGTTTTTTTAACCACAGTTGTTACGACCTAACTTTCATTCAACTCCATTCCCTAAAGTTAATTCGTGGACAGAAAT